TGGAGTTTTTCCCGTTTAGCCCGTCCCAACCCGCCCGATAAACACCCTTAGGATAAACTACGAGATTATTTTGTTTCACTATTGGTTAAGATTTTGATTTCGGAATTAGTAATTCTGGGACTATTTTTTATCACAATTGTGATATTATTTTTATATAGCACATTCAAAGTGGGATACACCAAAACAGTAAAGATGTCCGTATACAAAACTCTTCTCTCAAAGTCCTTTTAAGTCGAGGTTAAAATTTATCAGAAGTTGAAAAACCAAAATATATATATATATATATATTCCATTTTAATCCAATGAACCTAACATCTATATAATTCTTGTATGACTTGTTTTGAGACGATCCATCAGAGTACATATAAAGGAGGTATAATACTAGTATGTAATTGGGATTATTAGGCCTTGAGGGGTTTTGTCATTTTCAGTATAGTAGGTGGCAAGTGGAGAGACCAGAGTAGAAACACAAGACCAATAGTTGTCCTTGTCACAGGACCATACTTTTGTGGAAGTTGAGTTGTGATTTTCATAGCGTTTGGACAATACTTAGAGTTCAAATTGTGGAAAAGAGTATTTTTGAAATGGAAAAACTTTGCAAAAGATTTGTAAATACGAAAAAAGAAACTAGTAAACAATTTTTTTTGTCAAACATGCTCGAATAAAAAAAACTTCACTTGAGTACAATTCAAATCATGTTTTCAACTTGAAGTCTAAATTCTAAGCCAAAAACTGTATGATGTCAATTTGCTTGTACTGCTTCACTCTTATTGTTGGCCATAACGAATCAGCCAGAAACTGCAAACCAAAGATGTGAATAAATTTTATCAAGAATTTATCGCCTTTCATACGAAGCGAGTGAGTGAATTTCAATATGCAGATATTTGTGCGCATTTCTATGGTTCACATTGTATTTTGCAGTCAAAAGGATGACAAGAAACTCTCTAAGCAGCCAAGATTTTCTACTTTGAGATATTTACTTTCAATAATTCAAATTATTATTTAAAATTTTGATATACTATATATGTTCTCTATCAAACTAATTTTCTAACTATTATTTTAATATTTTCATCCAGTTTATTAATTTAATATACAAGTCAATGAATATGTTAAACTCTTGTCTCCAATCAGATACAATATAGAATTGAAGAGGAGTAACACATGAATCTGTCTTATCATGTTAATATTTATCGCCTTTCATAGTGAATTTCAATATGTAGATATTTTAGATGATATAATATTGATATTTTCCCCTCATAGTATTCAGGCTTATAATTCTGTCATAATTAAACTTTAAATGCGAAATAAACGTTTAAGGTTAATTGCATTAAATTCTAATCAACTTTTTTTTTTTAAATTCAATGAAGGAATCAATTTCATCTCCTTTAGACATTTATTGTTCCTCAGACATTTATTGATCCATGCCTTACCTCTGGAGTATTATAGCCTGTTTGGCCAAGCTGCAAAAATCAACTTATTTTAAGAAGTGTTTTTTTTCAAAAGTGCTTTTCTCAAAAGTACTTTTGGTGAGAAGCAGTTTGTGTTTGGCTAATTAGTTTGAAAACCACTTCTGAGCAGCAATTAGTGTTTGGCCAAGCTTTAAAAAACTGCTTCTAAGTGTATTTTTCTCAAAAGTGCTTCTCAAAAAAGTACTTTTGGAGAGAAGTTACTTTTTTTGCTTCTCCAAAACTGTTTCTGCTTCTCCTCAAAAGCACTTTTTTCCTTTCAAAAGTTTGGCCAAACACCTCAATTTTTGACCAAAAATGCTTTTGGCAAAAAAAAAAGCACTTTTCACCAAAAAGAAGCTTGGCCAAATAGGCTATTAGTCTTGTCTCTAGTTTAGTCGGTCCTAAAATATAACACATGCTATTTCTAGAAATAAAGCCTTTTCCTTTCAATGATTCAAATTAATACTCCTATAAACTACTAATTTAGTTTTACTACTTTCACTATTTTGACATTAATTTATTATCTTCTACATTAAATTTATTTTTATTATTAAATTGATCTTTAGTTATTTACTTCCTCCGGTCCACAATAAGTGACCAATTTGTTTTTGGCACGCCCATTAAGAAAATACTAAATTCTATACAAAAATACCTAGTATGACTAAACTACCCTTAGTTAAATATTTAATATGAGTAAAAAATACTTTTTAGGGATATGCACATAAGGATAATTTTGTAAAAACAAATTGAATTTTTTCTTGATTATATAAAATGGACACTTATTTTGGACCAAAATAAAAAAGTAAATTGATCACTTATTGTAAACAAGAGGGAGTAGGTCTCAAAAACTAGAACAAAGTGTGTAACGGAAAAGGTGAGAATGCTGGATATTTGAAAATACCAAAGTGAACGAGACATGAATAATTTGGCTACCAAGGGATTATAGTGTTAGATCTAATTTTAATGATGAAAATAATATATTTGCCTCTTGTGTAGGAACTCTTGGATTGACAAAGGAACGTATGGAGATTGACAGAATATAGGCGCAGTTAAAGGAAGCAATCAATCCTAAAGATACTGACACATTCAATCCTAAAGATACTGATGAAAATCAAGGGACGCGATTAAAGGAAGACGAAATCACAGAAGATACAGATGGGATCAATTATAGCTAAACTCAAGGAATCAGATAAATCAAGATCTCACTGAAGATTCAATCAAGTGTCTAAATATAGCAGACCAAGATTCCAACAGAGCCGTTGAAGAACAACTTTATTCTTGGAAAGAATCAAACTCTTTCCAAGGATCAAATCTCTTGGGTTGGCAAAATCTTTCCAGAAATCAAGCCTCTCTCTCTAAGTATTTAAACCTGTAATCTCACCTTAGCTAGACATACTTTGATCGAACCAAACACCCTCTGTTTGTTCTACTGCAAACAAACATTGTAGCTCTCTAAGACCTGTTGTATAACAAGTTACAGAAGAAAGAGAGAACAACACTGGTGAGGCATTGTATCAAAGAGATGAGTGATATAGGAACTGAGCTATCACGTCATTTCCATTGTACTCGAAGAAACACATTCACAAAAGAGAACTCCCTTGCAACCCAAGGGGACTGAACTAGGATTCACATTTAATCCAAACCAGTATAAAAATTTCGGTGTCTTTAATTCTTGTATTTACTTTTAGCATCTTATATTCTGTTATTACAACTGCTAGCTTATTGCATCTAGTCGACTAATTGAAAAATGGGTCAACTAACAGAGATTAGGTTTTAAAATGTACAATTCACCCCCCTCTTGTACTTTTAATTGGTATTAGAGCAAGGCTCATATTTTTCTTTTGCTTAACAGCTTGTGAGAAAAGATCATGACAAATCAAGTTATCATAGGAGCTCTCTTCCAGGAAGGAACTTCACAAGTTAGACCACCATACTTCAATGGACAATATTTCTCTCACTGGAAAGTGCGTATGGAGATCTATGCCAAGGCATACGATGTTAAAGTTTGGAGAGTCATCAAAAAGGGGAACTATCCCCTGCCAGCCGCTACCCCACTACTTGTTGATCCTGAAGATATAGATTCATACACAAAAAAGCAAATAGAAGTGGTACAAATTAACAATAAAGCGAGAAACCTGCTTTATAATGCCATAAGTGGTGAAGAATATGAGAAAATCTCTAGCTGTGACACAGCCAAAGAAATATGGGACAAGCTTGAGGTCACATACGAAGGAACCAACAAAGTAAAGGAAACACATATCAACATGTTGGTTCATGATTACGAACTCTTTTCAATGAAAGAAGGAGAGTCGATTGAAGAGATGTTTGCCAGATTCAACAAAATAATTAGCGATCTAAAAGCACTTGACAAACCTTATACGAGTGGCGATCAAGTCAGAAAGATTCTTAGAAGCTTACCAACCACTTGGCAGACCAACGTAGTCACACTTGAATCTCAGGATCCAAATAAGTTATCCTATGATGAACTACGAGGAGAACTCATAGCCTTTGAAAAGACACATCTCAAGAAAACTAGTCAAGAAGAAAAAAAGAAAATAGTCGCATTCAAAGCCTCAACCAAAATTGCTGAAAATGAAATCGATGATAATCCTGAAGCTCTACAAGAAGAGATTGTTATGCTATCAAGAAACATAGATGGCTTAATGAGAACATTCAGGAATATGAGAAAAGAAAGAATTCCATACAGGTGATCCATGCAATACAACGAACAGGACAAGAATGATGGAAAATGCTATGAGTGTGGAAGATTTGGACACATTCAAGCTGAGTGTCCAGATCTAAAAAGAAAAATTTCCAGAGGCTTTAACAAAAAAAAATCTTTTGGAAGTTGGAGCGATGAAGATAGTTCAGAACACGAGGAAATAGCAAATCTTTGCTTCATGACGATTCTGGAAAATGAGATGAACAAATCCTCAGGATGTTGGACAGATGAGGACATTTCAGATGATGAATGCAAAGATAACAATGAGAACTGTTTCATGGAACGAGGTGAAACAAGTGAGGTAAGATCTTATAACTATGAAAGATACAATAAATTACAGGATATTCTTGATTTAACTTTGAAAAAGTCTCAAAAAATGATGAATGAACTTAAGAGACTCAATAAAGAAGTTAAAGACTGGAAACTCAAACATGAAGTATGTGAAATCAAAAAAGAAGTACTTCAAGAAGAGTTTGAGGAATTGCAAATGCAACTCAATGGCATGCGCAAATCCACCAGTCATAGTTCTGTCAGGTCAAACCAGGCAACTTACAAGTCAACTGGAAAAGGACCAGCTAGAACAAAATCCACTAGTACTAACACTAATGAAAGACCTAAAAGTGGGTCAGGAGTTACGTGTCACTACTATAACAAAAGTGGACATAAATATTCGTTTTGTCACTTTCGTAAAGCAAATGTTTCAGGATGAGTTTGGAAATCAAAAAATAATTCTGAATCTAGTAATACTAACCCTCCAGGACCCAAGCAAGCTTGGGTACCTAAAAAAAAGTAATCACTATATTTTGCAGGAACACCACAGAATAAGCCGCAAAGGAAAATGGTACTTAGATAGTGCGTGTTCCAGTCACATGACATGTGATAAAAACCTGTTCAAAGAAGTTACAAAAATTGATGGAGGAAGCGTTAAGTTTGGGGATGACTCAAAGGGAAAGATAATTGGCACTGGAACAATTCTCTTCAATAACAACTGTGACATCACTGAAATTTATCTCGTCGATGGACTCAACTACAATCTTCAAAGCATAAGTCAACTATGCGACTCAGGATATAAGGTAAATTTTAAGAAAACAGGTTGTGCTATTGAAGACGAGACAGGTAAAATAGTCCTCCCAAGAAAAAGGTATGGAAATGTTTATATCCTTGATGGTTTTGAAAAGATAGATGGTCATATTTGCTTAACATCTATGTCTGATGATCCATGGTTATGGCATAGAAAACTTGATCATGCAAGCATGCACTAGATAGAAAAATTGTCCAAACATGAGTTAATTATTAGTCTACCCAAACTAAATTTTTCTAGAACTCATATCTGTAATGCATATCAAATAGGTAAGCAAACCAGAAACTCTTTCAAAAATAAAGATATTGTATCTACTTCTAAACCTTTGCAATTGCTTCATATGGACTTATTTGGGCCTACTAGAACTGCTAGTATAGGAGAAAAAAATATGCTTTTGTTATTGTTGATAATTATTCACGTTTCACTTGGGTAATTTTCTTGTCTCATAAAGATGAAGCATTAAGAAATTTTGAGATTTTCTGCAAAAAGGTTGAAAGAGAAAATAGATATCTGATTTCAACAATTCAGAGTGATCATGGAGGAGAATTTAAAAGTAGAGCTTTTGAAGACTTCTGTAATGATCAGGGATACACTCATAATTTCTCTACAACACGATCACCACAGCAAAATGGGGTTGTTGAGAGGAAAAACAGAACCCTCCAAGACATGGCAAGAACCATGTTGCTAGATCATTCACTACCAAATCACTTTTGGGCAGAAGGTGTGAGTACAGCATGTTACATTCGCAATCGATGTCTCATAAGGCCCATTCTGAAGAAGACTCCTTATGAACTATGGAAAGGTAAATGTCCTAATATCAGTTACTTTCATCCCTTCGGAAGTAAGTATTTTATTCACAATAACGGTAAGGACAACCTTGAAAATTCGATCCAAGAAGTGATGAAGGTATTTTTCTGGGCTACTCATTAAATAGTAGATCTTTTAGAGTCTATAATAAACGCACCTTATGTGTGGAAGAATCTGTATATGTTATATTCGACGAAAATAACCCCTTGGTCGAGAAAGGAATTACTGTAGGTGATTAAGATCAAGCTCAAGAAACTCAGGAGAAAAGCAAACCTCAAGAGTCAACTGATAAATCTGCTACGATGGAGTCAACTAATGAAATCAGTAGCAGTTAACCAGATCATCCGATCGAGTCGACTACTAATGTGGTGCATCCAAATGAATTGAGAAGCGAACCTGAATATCCTCAAAAATTCATCATAGGGGATCTTAATGAAGGAATGAAAACCAGGGGAGCTCTCAAAAAGAAAGAAAATGTAGCATTAATCTCACAGGTTGAACTAAAAAAGATAGAGGAAGCTCTAAAAGATTCAAGTTGGGTACAAGCAATGCAGGAAGAGTTAGATCAGTTTGGTAAAAATCAAGTGGGGAAACTGATACCCAAACCTGAAAATGTTTCTGTAATTGGAACAAAGTGGGTCTTTAGAAATAAATTGAACGAGGATGGAAAGGTCGTAAGGAATAAAGCCAGATTAGTTGCTCAGGGATATTCACAACAGGAAGGAGTCGACTATGACGAAATTTTTGCCCCGGTAGCTCGTTTGGAGTCTATACGAATCCTTCTGGCATATGCATCATTTAAAGGATTTAGGTTGTTTCAGATGGACGTCAAAAGTGCATTTTTGAACAAATTTATTGAGGAAGAAGTATATGTGAAACAATCGCCTGGGTTTGTAGATTCAAAATTTCCCTATGTATATAAACTCACTAAGGCATTATATGGACTGAAGCAAGCTCCACGAGCATGGTATGGTAGACTTAGTTCTTTTCTAATTGATCATGGCTTCACAAGAGGTAAAGTAGACACTACCTTGTTTATTAAAAGATCATCAGAAGGTAATCTCATTATTCAGATTTATGTTGATGATATTATATTTGGTAGTGCTAACCCTCTTATGTGCAAGGAATTTTCAAATCTTATGCAAAGTGAATTCGAAATGAGCATGATGGGAGAGTTAACATTCTTCCTTGGACTTCAAATTCAACAATCTGAAGAAGGAACCTTTATATGTCAGACCAAATACACAAAGGAACTGATTCAAAAATTTGGCATGAGCAATGCAAAATCCATTGGCACACCAATGAGTCCTTCAACAAGTCTAGACAAAGATGAACAGGGAATCCATGTTGATTAAACTAAGTATAGTGGAATGATTAACTTATTACTATATCTGACTGCAAGTCAACCAAATATTATGTTCAGTGTGTGTAAATGTACCAAGTTTCAGTCAGCTCCTAAAGAATCTCATTTGACTGCAGTAAAGAGAATCATTCGATATCTTATTGGGACTGTCTCCCATAGACTATGGTATCCTCGCTCTAACTCTTTTAAATTAGAAGGTTTTTCAGATGCTGACCTTGCAGGTGATAAGGAAGATAGAAAGAGCACAAGTGGTACATGTCAATTACTAGGAAAGACATTGATATCCTGGAACAGTAAAAAACAAGAATCAGTTGCATTATCTACCACTGAAGCTGAATACATTGCTATTGGATAATGATGTACACAATTACTGTGGATGTCCCATCAACTGGGTGATTATGAACTTTCCTTTAAACATATATAAATTTTCTATGATAATTCAAGTGCTATTTGTCTTTCAAAAAATCTTGTTCATCATTCTAGGGCAAAGCATATAGATATCAAGCATCATTTCATTAGAGATCATATTCTTAAGGGCAATATAGAAATATCTTTTGTAGGGACAGCTGATCAACTAGTGGATATCTTTACCAAACCATTACTAGAAGAAAGATTTTGTTCACTTAGAAAACTTTTTGACATTATTTGCATTAATAGCGAATAATAGGACCTTTGGGTCATTATTTAATCTTATATAGAATAGTCCATATTTTTTCCGCATTAATTACGCCTCCGTTTTCCCTCCTTTTCCTTCTCTTTTCACATCAGTCACAGAACTCAAAAAGGAAAATCAATCATCGCGTCTGATCAACTGACGCCTTTTCCTTTTCTGTACTCAACCGTTAGTAAACCCCTTTTTATGTTGTCTTCTCATATCAATCTCCATTGTCTCTATCGCCCTCATACCCCTTCTCCGAAATCTTGCTTCTCCACCAACCTCCTTTAATGGCTAAACAATCCAAAACTCCTTCTGCATCCACTAGAAAGAGTACCCGCTCAAAAGGAAAAGCCCCTTCTCAACCCCTTGAATAGGTAAACCTAGGGTCTGATCACTCTGAGGGATTTGCCTCTTCTCAGGCGGAATTCTCCGATCATTCTCAACCCTTAGGAGAAAAATCCCTGGGTAAAAGACCCATGGAAGACCCCATGTCTCCTCCACTCTAAAGAAATCAAAAGTTGACCTCTCTAGTTCCCTAAATTCGGAACTCAAATTCTGGGATTCTCCTAACATGGACCTTTTTTTTGCCCTATTAGACAAGCCTATTGCGCATGGGAGGGTAGTCGACCTTGATGACATAGAAGCCCTAAATTGTAAGGTTAAGGACCTTTTTGTTTACCAAGGGTGGTCCAAGTTCTTTTCTGTTCCTCCTCCTAAAGTTTATGAACCTCTAGTGCGAATGTTCTATGCTAATCTTCGTTCTAGTAGGTCTGATAAGTTGGAGGCCTTAGTACTAAGAAAGCATATTGTTCTTGACTGTTCCTTGTTTGATTCAATCTTTCAGTGCAAGTGTTCTGGTTTCCCTATGTTATTTAAAAATTCCTAGCCCGATGATTTTGAAATTTCTTTTGATCAAGCCAAAAGATGTATTGCTGAGTGTCCATCTGAATCCCTTCCAAACCAACTTGGTCCTAGTGATGTTAGTTTTGAAACCCGTGTTCTAGCTTACATTATGGCAACCACTCTGCTTCCCCGTACTGGCTCTTTCTCAACCTTCTCTCTATGAGATACTTTTCTGGTCTACTGTCTTGGGACCAAACTCAAAATCAAGTTGTCCTCCTCGATTATCAATTTCATGATTAAAAGTGCTGAAGATCCCACTAGTCTACCCTATGGAATGGCCATTACTCACATTCTGGAAGCCCACAACATTTCCCTCTCTGCATACTCCTTTACTACAGTTTCAAAATCATACAACTCTAGAGCCTTTACAAGTATGGGGTATGTGTGTGTGAAGGGTTCATGGGTCAAGAAACAGGAGAGTGATGTCAAGACTGCCCATCCAGACTCCAAGCCCAAACCTTCTGCTTCTCATCCTAGCCTTAGTGGATCTGACCTGTCTGAGAAAATTAGCGCCATTGGGAAGAGCTCTCTGCAATCAAGGATCTCCTCATTGCCACCCACTCCACTATTGATACCATTCATGCTATCTCTAAGGAAACAGGGTCTGATGTCTCCAAAATTCGGATTGCAGTTCTCAGAGTTAGGGAAAATGTCGTCAAGGCTTTCAAGGAGGTTCATGACAGGTTTGATGGAATGAGTGTCTCAACCAACACCAACTTTGATCGACTAAAGAAGGCCGTCTGCAACACTCTTACCTATTTTCTGCGTTGTTAATGTGGAAGTTTAAGACAATATTTTCTTTTGTTGTGTTGTTTTTGGACTGAGATATCAGTCTGTGGATATTTTTCTTTTTTATTTTGTTATGGTCTAACTCTACCAATACATTCTGCTATGGTT